AAACAAAAAATTTTGCCATGTCATCAATTTTTGCCACATGGATTTTTCACGTAATTTCGTAAAAAAAAAGAATAAGTGTTCCGTTAATTAACCTGTCACATCAGCCAAAAATTAACGAAAGGACTAAAAAGGGGTCGGATTTGTGAACAGTAAGGACCAAAAAAGGGATTTTTTCGGTATAAGGACCAAAAAGGAGCTTTTTCCTATAGTAGAGGGACCAAAAAAGGTATTTAACCATCATTTTTCAATCAAACCTACATCAATCAAACCCAACATTCTTCAATCAAACCCATCAGGGGTTCTTCAATTGAACCCAACAGTGCTTGCTAGGTTTGATCGACGAACCCAGTAGCTGAACCCAGCAGAACCCAACAGGTGCTCTTAGGTTCGATCGACGAACCCAGCAAGCGTTCTTTGGTTCGATCGACGAACTCAGTAGGCGAACCCATCGCTGTTGGGTTCGATTGACGAACCTAGTAGGACTGAGCAGGTGCTCCTGGGTTAGATCGACGAACCTAGTAGACCCAGGAGGTGCTCCTAGGTTCAATCGACAAACCCAGCAAGTGTTCCTGGGTTCTATCGGTGAACCCAATAGGACCCAGCAGGTGCTTCTGGGTTCAATCGACGAACCTAGCAAGCGTCATTGGGTTTAATCGATGAACCCTGCAGCGACTGCTGGGTTCATGAATCGAACCCAAAATCCCCCAACGAACAAAGATCTGGGGGAAGAAGATGAACATAAGATGCTAGAGATGAAAAAGAAAGGGTAACGGAAGGAAAATGGAAAAAAATTGATGTGTGGTTGAAGATGAGGACAAAAAAGTAATTTTAATTTTATAATTAATTTTAGATATTTTAATTTTTACTGAAAATTGCTTGTCAAAGTGTTATATGCCATGTTGTCAATCCTACATGTCAAAATATTTTTACATGTCATCCTTTCTTGTTAACTATGGGGTCAAGTAAGTGGATTTTTAATGGAAGGACCAAATTAGAGTCAAAATGGTAAATAGTAAGGATCAAATTAGGGATTTTTTGAGTTAAGAGACTAAGTCGGGAGTCCGTACAATAGTTGAGGGACCAAAATGAGGGTTTAACCTAAATATTTTAGAACGTTTTAATTATAATTATTAAATATATAAGTATAATATAAGTTTTAATTTTATTAAATATATTAATATTTTTAACGTTAGAGTGTTTTAATTTTCCCTTTTGTTTTCATTTTTAACATATTTTTGTGATTTATTGAAGGCAAAATACCTAAATCCACCCCCAAAGTATAGTGGTAGGGACAAATCCATACCTGAACAAAAAACAGGGACAAATTCACTCACAAAGTTTTTGACTTTGACAAATCACTCCAAATTTAACTTAACGTATGATATCATTTGACGTCAACAATCTATCAATTTGTTATGTTGCTAATAACGGATTGTTGATGTCAGATGATGTTAAATTAACGAATTACTGATATCAAATGACATCACACGTTAAATTTGAGGTGATTTATCTAAGTAAAAAATTTTGTGGGTGGATTTGTTCTTGTTTTTTATTTAGGGATGGATTCGTACTGCTACTATACTTTGGGGGTGGATTTAGGTATTCTGCCTTTATTGAATGTGGTTATGAACAGAGGAGAACATATTTGGGTGTAGACCTAGTATAAGTTATATTTGGTATTTGAAATAAATTTTTTTTTTTTGTACAACTTTTAGATACGACATCTACTTAAGCACTTGAAAATCTATATTTGATACTTAATCTAATAAGTATCAAGTAGTCAATGGCCTAAATAACTCAGTGGTAATTTTCTTCTGTTAGAAGTATGAAGTCCTGAGTTTGAGTCACATGATATGCGGGTGAAGTGGGATAAGAAATATGAGAGAGTTGCCTTTCGTTGTACAACCAACATCATAAAAAAAAAGAAAAAAAAAAGGAAGTATCAAGTAACTTGTAGGTATGTACTTATATATTTGAGTTAAGGAAAGAAAATATCTAATATAAGATGCTATTATTACGTATATTATATGTTTGACTTAGGGTTTACTATTTATACAAGTCGTTACTATTGCATGTGTGATTTGTTTGGTTTTTAGGCCTCATTTAATTTTTATTTTAATTTTTCTATTTTTAAAAATTATTGTTATTATATAAATATTAGATATGATAAATATTTGTAAAATTTCATTTACACAAATATAAGTAGTAGATAAATTAAGCAAGTTAAGTAAATAATTTTAAACCTCTATATTTATTACTTGATTTGATGCTTATTGGTATGTTATTTTTACACTTATTACTTACTCATTTTTACTAGAATTTAGATATAGTACTTCCCCAACCTAATAAAGTATTTACAAGTAATGAGTATATTTGTATTCAATGCTCGCCCTTAGTTAATGTCACAAAGTAAATTGTTAGAGCTACACATTGTTATAATTTTATTTCGTAAATAGTTAATTATGCTATTTTAAAATATTAATATATAAATTAATTTTAGTTTATTAAATAATAAATAGTAAATATTTATAATTTGTTAACTGACAATTAAAATTAAAATTATTAATTATTTTTAAATTTTTGTGTAATCCTATGACTTTAATGTGTAAGCTAACCACTCCATTATTTCTCTTCCCCTCCACCCACAGTAAGAACAGGCATATAAATTTTTTAAAAGTTTTTGCAGTCTATCCTAAAAAAAAAACAAAACATTTTTGGTTGCAAATTAAAAAATCTAATATATTATTAATGAATGAGGAATGGATGAAGATTCATCGATGGTAATTTAGTTTTTCAAATGCACAGCTATTTTTTTTTTCTTATTCAAGGACGAATTATAGTTACAATCTCTTTTTTCATAGAATAAATATGAATAGTTGAAAATTACAATTATATGATCAATAACTTTTGACAAAAATATCTAGTTATTTCCAATTTAGAGTTTTTTTTTTATATGATAAAATGAGTCAAACTCTATCAAAAAAATACTAGAAATGAAAATCACAACTTGATTTTTTAAGCATAAAAATCAGAGTAAATGATAGTCTACACAGATATCGTAGCTCAACCCAAATTGAGGAAATTTATTGAGATTTAATAATTCAGCTACAACCAAGCATCCACACGAGAAGAAATAACAAACTAAGAGCATGTTTGGGGCGAAAACCTATTTTGAGCCCTTCACATTACTAAATTTGAAAGTAATAGCTCTTTATCTTATATTATAACACTTTTAGTTTCTCACCTTACTAGATTTGTAGGTTTTAGTCATTTACCATATACTATGACACTTTTAACCTCTCATTTATTAAAATCGAAAAAACTAACCCTCACTTTGTAATATTTTGTTAATTCTGTTAATTGACTGTTAATTTTATTAGTTGACTGTTAATTCTATTAACTGATTATCAGTTGACTATTAATTGATAAAAATCTTCTTTCATCTAACAGAATTAATTTTATAATATTTCGTTTATTTTGTTAACTGATTGTTAGTTGATTGTTAGTTAATAAAAACCTATTTTTAACTAACAAGATTAACAGTCAGTATAAAATAGGGACTATTTTTTTTAATTTTAATAGGTGAGGAGTTAAAACTTATAAATTTAGTAAGATGAGGGGCTAAATGTAAGTTTTTGCCCATGTTTGGTGATGCTGGTCTTTTGAATGGAAGTTCTTTTCGTAAAGAATCACTTGTAAAAGTTATTTTTTTTAGAAGTAGAAAGTGTTTAATAAAATTTTGTACCGAAGGACTTTTAAAATGTGAAAGTGTTTCGTAAATTTTTTTTATAAAATTTTTTTTAATTTAATATAATAATAAAATAACTTAAATAGACATTTTTTACTTTAATCACCACTCTCATTCTAATTTTTTTGTATTTTTATATAACTTAAATTTTATTATTAATTTAAGGTTGATGAA